AGCGAGATAAGAGAACGCGGTGACATTCGTCACAGTCCCCGGAGCGTGGATGTGATGCAGTGGTTGTTGGGTGCTCAGGAGGGGGCAGTGGGAAGTCCAGTCCCACTGGGAAGGCAGCGTCCAGTCCTCTGGGAAGCCAGCGGCCTCTGCACTTTAACTCAGTCCGTCACGGCTAAGCCCATGCCTGGCTCGCAGGAGGCTGCTCGAGCAACACTGGCAGACCCACTGCATGAGGTCGGACGGTGCCTTCCGAGGGACCAAGAAGGGACATGAAGCGGCACTTTGGGGAGGAGAGGGCCTTGGGGAACGAGGGCTTTTCACGTGACTTTCACGTGATGGACATATCCCAGCATCTCGGGGTATGTTAACAACCCCATGCCTGCGCGTTAGCTATCCTGGAAGTTTCCAGAAGACTTGGCAACAGAGCTGGCGTAGCCCTGGGGAACAATAAAGTCACTCCTTCCCATCGGGAAGGCTGGGAACCCGGCTACAGGCAGCTTCCATCCAGCGTCCACCAACCCGGTTTCCAAATGGCAACAGCGCCCCCTGCTGGAGAGAGAAGGCGGCTCCTGCATCGGCCCCCACTGTTAGTCCGCCAAGCGCTCTGTGGCAGAGGGGAGTCCTGGCCATCATTCTGGCCAGCAGTGATTTTCATTCTGAAAGCTTGTTGATCCCTCATCTTGTTATTATTTGGGGCCAAGCATGGGAACGGGTGCTTAACCCCACGTCTCACTGTCTCCTCCTCTGGCTGGTCTCCTGTCCTCTCTCTGGGTCCCGTGTGAAGACAGTGCCGGGGGCACCCTCTCATGAGGTCAGAAACCCCGAGTCGCCTTCCCTGCATCTTCTGGGCCCCTCCGTCGGGAGTGCCTTGGGCACATCCATGAGCCCAGAAATGCCACCTGACTCGGGATGTTTCTGCTCAGCGTGTGTGCCGGGCCCACCTCACACGGGACTCACACGTTACACATGACTAACCTGGGTCAGTCATCAGAGATCAGCGTCAGGGACCTGACAGGCCAGACTGAGCTCAGAGTTAACTGCAGGCAGACACAGAACTTAGTTTCAAAACTTCCTAACAGGAAGGCAGAAAGGGAAATAAGTGGGACTACGCAGTTCCTATTGTCAGGAAAAAAACAAAACAAGACATAATACTTGTCTGACAGAGAAGTCAGAAAAGTGATCTAAAGTCTCCTTTCCGAAAGCGTGGGCCAGACACAGGGCAGTTCAACAGCAAAGGCTCTCGGCTGGGGTTTTGTAAAGAGAAGCGCGCGGCGGGGAGGGAAGCAGTGTTTCCGCGGCCCCGAGGCCTGGGCCCCTGCGCGATGGGAACCCAGGAGCCACCGGCCAGAAACTGCTCCAGTTTCCAACCTCAGGGGAAGGGCCCGGGGTGGCGCCTAGGCCAGAGGTGCGGGGCTGCAAGGTGAGGACAGGACCTATTCAGACTCGATTTCCCACCTTCACAGTGAACTTCGTGGAGCATCCCCCGGCTTGGATTACGGAGCTCCATCGCCCCCTCCGCTCAGGTGGCCAGTGCCTGTCCGTCCCAGGGCAGAAGCCAACACGCTGTGACTCCCAAGGTCCACACTGGCGGGAGCTTCCCCTGCAGGCCCCGGCGAAGCCGTCTGGGTGGGGAATGCCACCAGCACCCCTCACTTGGTGGGCAAGCACCCTCCTTGTCTGTGAAGCTGATAGAGGCTTCACAGGTGTGCCCCCCTGGGCACTGCCACGTGGTTCCAGGGTCTCAGGAGTGAGTGTGGGGAGTCCTCCCACCAGGAATGTCAGGCCTCTGCACAGCCAAACAGGTGCTTCCCTACACCTCTGTGTGGCTGCCTCTTCTACTACCTCACCCGCTGCCTTGCTCGGGGCAGGAAGGGCCTGAGTGTTGCTTCGGGCCATTTTTGGGACAATTTACATGTCGAGCACCAGGCAAGGATACCTTTGGCGGCTGGGGACTAGGGACTTCCCACTCCCAATGCCAGACGGTGGAGCCTCTGGAGCGGCGCGCTGGTGCCCTGCTGCCACGTGGTCCCGGGGTCTCAGGAGTGAGTGTGGGGAGTCCTCCCACGAGGAATGTCAAGCCTCTGCACAGCCCAACAGGTGCTTCCCTACACCTCTGTGTGGCTGCCTCTAGCAGGATGACAAATGATGGGGGTTGGGAGGTCCCCATCATTGTCAACACGGTGGGACAGCCAGCCCCTTCCACCCCACGTGCAGTTCACAGGAGAGATACCAAAAATGCAGGAGGGGCCCCTAAAACCCCCCGGAGCTCCATCGCCCCCTCCGCTCAGGCGGCCAGTGCCTGTCCGTCCCAGGGCAGAAGTCAACACGCTGTGACTCCCAAGGCCCACACTGGCGGGAGCTTCCCCTGCAGGCCCCGGCGAAGCCGTCTGGGTGGGGAATGCCACCAGCACCCCTCACTGGGTGGGCAAGCACCTCCTTGTCTGTGAAGCTGATAGAGGCTTCACAGGTGTGCCCCCCTGGGCGCTGCCACGTGGTCCCGGGGTCTCAGGAGTGAGTGTGGGGAGTCCTCCCACGAGGAATGTCAAGCCTCTGCACAGCCCAACAGGTGCTTCCCTACACCTCTGTGTGGCTGCCTCTTCTACTACCTCACCCGCTGCCTTGCTCGGGGCAGGAAGGGCCTGAGTGTTGCTTCGGGCCATTTTTGGGACAATTTACATGTCGAGCACCAGGCAAGGATACCTTTGGCGGCTGGGGACTAGGGACTTCCCACTCCCAATGCCAGACGGTGGAGCCTCTGGAGCGGCGCGCTGGTGCCCTCTAGTGGGAGCTGATTGCGGTGCAGCCGACTGTCCTCATGGCCTCTGCACCAGGTGCACCGACCCTGGGCCACACTGGGAGCAGGATTACAAATGATGGGGGCTGGAAGGTTCGCATCATTGTCAACACGGCGGGACGGCCGACCCCTTCCACCCCACGTGCAGTTCACAGTAGAGATACCAAAAATGCAGGAGGGGCCCCTAAAACCCCATTCTAAGCCCAGTTGCTTGGGTTTTAGCTTCTACCCAGCCCTATGGCTTCACAGCCCGGAACCATGACTGATGTCCCCCCAGAAACCATGTCACCACGGGACAATTTACAAGTTGAGCACCGAGGCAAGGATACCTTTGACGGCTGGGGACTAGGGACTTCCCACTCCCAATGTCAGACGGTGGAGCCTCTGGAGCGGCGCGCTGGTGCCCTCTAGTGGGAGCTGATTGCGGTGCAGCCGACTGTCCTCATGGCCTCTGCACCAGGTGCACCGACCCTGGGCCACACTGGGAGCAGGATGACAAATGATGGGGGTTGGGAGGTCCCCATCATTGTCAACACGGTGGGACAGCCAGCCCCTTCCACCCCACGTGCAGTTCACAGGAGAGATACCAAAAATGCAGGAGGGGCCCCTAAAACCCCATTCTAAGCCCAGTTGCTTGGGTTTTAGCTTCTACCCAGCCCTATGGCTTCACAGCCCGGAACCATGACTGATGTCCCCCCAGAAACCATGTCACCACACTCAGAGCCTCCAGCTTCCCACCCGAGCCCGGAGCTCCTGGAAGCAGTGCTGGCTGGCCTCAGCGCACCAGAAGCTGCCGACGGGTCGTGGGCGCTAAAATCTAGCTGCTGGCTATCACCTCCCCCAGCTCACCTGACCTTCGCCCTCTGCTACCATTTATGAGGAAGCAGACCTTGGGGGTGTCACCATCAACATCAGCCCTTACTAACCAACCAGGTGCCGTTCCTGGGTGGAGAGCCATGCTGGGAAAATGGGGGCACCTGCTGTCCGCCCTGCTGCCGAGCCCCAGCGATGGGGGTCCCTGAGGGACAGCACTGTGCGACTCACCCCCGAGATGCACTGCCTGCTGTGGAAGTACAGCCGGGGGGACCATCTGGATAGGGGGTCCTTGGCTTTGGCTGGAGCGGGGGTTGGATGGGCACCCACGTGTCAGCATCTGAGCTCTGACGAGGCCCTCCCACTAGGACCACTCACGGTGACGTGGGCCCCATGTGTGACTCCCAGTGAGAGAGAAGCCAGAGCTCCCTGCAGATCAACAATAGGCATTAAGTCTGAGGGCCACGGGCCCTCCGCACACACATCCCAGTGGGACACTCTGGACGTGGAGGCAGTGCCCCTGCCCACACATGGTACATCCGGTGATGCTTTGTTGGAGGTAGGGGCCAGCAGGAGTGCCCAGGCCCAGGCCCAGCATCGGGACCTGGGAGAAGGGGAGTGTGTGAGGCGCTGCCCCTGTGCCTACCTGCCAGGCTGGGAGGACCTTCTCGATGTCATTCAGGTTGATCCCATCCCCATCTTCCAGCTTCCCTTTTCCACACCTGGAGCAGAAAAGACAAAGACGTTGAGAGGATGGCACCTGCCTGGATCCTGCCCCGCCTGGCAAACAGGAAGAGCGGGGCCCATCGGGTGACACCTGGTCCCGCCCTCCCTCCAGGCCTGCCGAACCAGCCTGCCCACCAAGAGGAAATGCCCTGGTGACCGATGCTTTGTTTTCATGTCCTCTGTGGCCAGGTGACCCTTCAGGCTGTCCCCCGCCCCCACTGGCTGCACAGGCCTTCATGGAGGACAAAGGACTCATGCAGATGGGATGCTGAGACCAGCCTGAGGGTGGGGCACAGAAGTACCATAAACTCCTTGCTGATAGACCCGCAAATCTGTCACAGCTCTGCAAAAGCCTAGCATCTTGAGACGAGGCCCTCCCACTAGGACCACTCACGGTGACGTGGGCCCCATGTGTGACTCCCAGTGAGAGAGAAGCCAGAGCTCCCTGCAGATCAACAATAGGCATTAATTAAGTCTGAGGGCCACTGGGCCCTCCGCACACACATCCCAGTGGGACACTCTGGACGTGGAGGCAGTGCCCCTGCCCACACATGGTACATCCGGTGATGCTTTGTTGGAGGTAGGGGCCAGCAGGAGTGCCCAGGCCCAGGCCCAGCATCGGGACCTGGGAGAAGGGGAGTGTGTGAGGCGCTGCCCCTGTGCCTACCTGCCAGGCTGGGAGGACCTTCTCGATGTCATTCAGGTTGATCCCATCCCCATCTTCCAGCTTCCCTTTTCCACACCTGGAGCAGAAAAGACAAAGACGTTGAGAGGATGGCACCTGCCTGGATCCTGCCCCGCCTGGCAAACAGGAAGAGCGGGGCCCATCGGGTGACACCTGGTCCTGCCCTCCCTCCAGGCCTGCAGAATCAGCCTGCCCGCCAGGAGGAAATGCCCTGGTGACCGATGCTTTGTCTTCATGTCCTCTGTGGCCAGGTGACCCTTCAGGCTGTCCCCCGCCCCCACTGGCTGCACAGGCCTTCATGGAGGACAAAGGACTCATGCAGATGGGATGCTGAGACCAGCCTGAGGGTGGGGCACAGAAGTACCATAAACTCCTTGCTGATAGACCCGCAAATCTGTCACAGCTCTGCAAAAGCCTAGCATCTTGACCAGCACACTAGAGAGAAATGAATGGAGAGAGAACAGCTTCCTCAAGGTCACACAGGCCCCAGTGGGGCTTCCTTCTTCCTTGGGCCTCACCTTGGGCCAGCCCACCAGCCCGCCGGCCCAGACGCCGACCCTTTGTCTTCATGTCCTCTGTGGCCAGGTGACCCTTCAGGCCAAAGACACACCCTGACTCACTGCCAAAGGTCCATGTCTCCTGCACATTGAAGGTGCAGACGCTGGCACCAGACTCCAGGGGTTGGAACCCCAGCCACTCCGCTTACTAACTGGGTGACCCTGTGCAAGTCACTTAACCTCTGTATCCGTTTCCTCGTTAGAAAAATTGGGATAATAATGTCTAACATGATAAGGTGAGCGGAGGATTAAATTAATGCATCGAAGTGCTTAGAACCTTGCCAGGCGCACGGGTACACACGCACTTAATATACCATATTTAACAGTAAATATATTCTCATGGTAAGTATAGGGGGCAGTTAGATAAAATGATAATAAAATAAATAAGGTAACTACATTGCTATTAGTAGTACTGCCTCTGCTTCTACTACGATTACTGTTGTCACTGTTATTGGGAAGAACAGCAGCATAGTGACCGAGGACATACATCGATTTTGGAGCCAGCCCAGCCTCATGCAAGTCACTCATTGGGGAAGGGTGTCTCCCAGCTTCCTCATCTGTCGAAGTGAAGAGAATAACAGCTCCTACTTCGCCAGGTGGCGGAGTTTACACGATACGAGGTAAGCACTGAGGACGGTACTCACCTGCCTGTGCGTGGTATTAGTTACTATTGTTATGCTATGGTTAGTGACCCAGGTGTGGCCAGGGCTGCCCAGGAGCTGGCGCCAGCGTTTTCTAGCTGCAGTTAATGCAACTCTAAGACTTCAGAGTAATTTGTTTAGTGGTTCGGTATTCGCCAAGCACCTCCTATGTCTTGGGCCCTGTCAGCCTCCCTTGGAGTCATGGGCAATGAACCCAACGCGGTCCTGCCCTCAGCCAGCTCACAGCTCTTAGGAAACAAGTCCTAACCTCAGCGGACAGGGTGGTACGCCTGAGCACCAGTAGGGGCAGCATGAGATCCTATGGCCAGAGGGGCCCGGAGCCCTGAGGAAGAGAAACCGGGTGGCTGCAGAAATGAGCCAAGGCCTGGGAGGAAGAGAGCACGGGATGTGACCCATCCCGCATTTCACAAGTGCCTCTGTGGGGGCTCGGGCGTGGGCTGGCCCGAGGTAAGCAGTGCACAGGCTGGGCCCTCAGCCACAGCAGTGTTCGGTCAGGGGTAAGAGAGGGCGCGACAGGAACCCAGAAGAGCAGGGTCTACAACAGTCTGAGCAGAGGGAGGGAGATGGGCCGGGAGCTGGCCAAGCAGAGAATCTGGGAGAATGTCCCGGGCAGAGGGCAGCAGGGAGGGCAAAGGTCCGGAGCTAAATGCAGCACGATGCCGGCAGGACATCAGCGTTCATGGGCTGGAGTAGGGGGAGAGGGTGCCAGGGGTGGGTAACAGATGATCAGGAGGACCAGGCTGGAAGGTTACGGGGTCTGGCAGGCGAAGCTGGGGCAGGAAGGGTGAAGGAGAGAAAAGAGGAGGTTCTTGCCTTTCAGCCCCCCACCCTGGCCTTGGGATGTGCTGGGCTGCAGATGAGGTGAAGAAAGGTCTAGACACAGCCTGGCTAGTGTGGCTCAATGGTTGAGCATTGACCTATGAATCAGAAGGCCACGGTTCAATTCCTGGTCAGGACACATGCACTGGTTGTGCGCTCAGCCCCCAGTAGGGGCCATGTAGGAGGCAGCCAATCAATGATTCTCCCTCATCACTGATGTTCCTATCACTCTCCCTCACTCCCTTCCTCTCTGAAATCAAGAAAGGTCTAGAAACAGCCAACCGCCTTTTCACCAACACATCTGCCTGGTAGAGACAAGCTGGCCTGTGAAGCTACCAACGGCCTGTCGTCATCTCTGTTTCATCTGTGCCAGGGCAGGGGGGAAGGAGGGGCCTGCGGACTGGGCCGACTAGAATGGCTGACACCGGCTCCTCTAAGTCACGTGTGTGTACCTCCCCTCTGGCGCCAGCACATGCAGGCCCCAGCCTAGCACAGCACAGGCCTGGCCTTCCATTCTCCCGTCACGGCCCCAGGTGGCGTGTGTGTGGGGGGGGCGGGGGGAGCTGTGTTCCCCTGGCCCTAGACCCACCCTGTCCGGGGCTCACACCCCTGGATGACTGCAGGCTCGAGGGCAGAAGGCTGATGTAGACCAGCTGACTCACTGTTGCCAACAGGGTTTCCAAGGCAACAGCTGTTTCCAATTTCTGTCCCTCCGTGGATACCTGGGAAGCCTTGGCAACAACGTGGTGCCCTGCTCCCGAGATGCTGCAGTGGCCGGGCACGTGGCGTCTGCCCCAGTGCGGCAGGGCTCTAAGGGGACACAGCCCTGGCCCAGCCACAGGGGGTCTCAGGAAGTTGCATACGACTCCCTGGGAGCAGGATGAGACAGACTTTGGCCAGAACTAGTGACTATGGGAGCCCCGGCCGACTGTCAGCAAATCCTAGAGGCTCCCATGAGTAGGTGAGCCTGGCCTGCAGCTGGTGAGGGGCTGTTGCTGGTCCCTCTGGCTGCAGAGGGGACATGGTGCTCAGCTCCGGGAACTTCTCCTCCCCCGAGTCATCTGTGGCCACTGCCAACCAGTGTTTTGTTCTGTTCATTTGTGGGAACTGGTGCAGACCCTCCGAGAGCCTGACTATGACACACGTTCCCCATCAGACACCTTCTGTTCTCTGGGCCTCAGTTTCCCCTCTGGTTTCACCATCCACTTGCTCCCAGGGGACAGGGGAGAGATGGGAGCTTCCCAGGGATATGCTGTGTCTCTCTCCCGAAGCCATTCCCAGACAGCTCATCCTCCCTCAGTCATGAATAGGTGCATGTTTCCTTTTCAAACAGTCCTGCTGGGCAGGGGGCTGTGTTTTATGCAGAGAGAGAGAGAGAGAGAGAGAGAGAGAGAGAGAGATCCTCACAGTACCCAGCACCATGCGGGCACCTAGGGGGCCTAGCAACTGGGCTTCAGAAATGCAACATGCCGTTCCCATGGCGCACCCCACGCTCAACCTCGCCCACAACAAGGCAGATGGGAGCGTCACCTCCGCTGCAAACCCGCTCCAGAACGTGGGAAGGTCAGCTTTCCTAAACCCAGCCGTGTGGGCTCAGCCCTGCTCAGCAGCAGCGCAGGAGGAAAGGGGCAGCGGCTGCGGAGTGAGGGGCTGAGCGTGCAGTGAGCAGCAGACAGCGTGAGGCAGGGCCGGGGGAGCCTTGGGCCGGGCCTCTGCTTTGCTCTACCGCCTCTAACAGGGTGCTCCATGCTCAAGGCCATCTTCCCTCTCTACCCCCCCAAAAAACAACCCCAAAAGTTCTGATGGAATCCACACAAACAGGACAATGAAAAGAAAGGGCATGGTGAGAGGCTCCGTCCCCTGGGAGAGGCTGACATGTGTGACATACTTCTCCCTAGAAATATGCACGTGCATGCGATTTTGCATAAAGTTTTGAGGGGGGAAGCCAATTCAGGGTTACACTGGACGGCATCAGAGGCCTTAAATCACGGCTCTGCCACTTGGGCGAGCGACTGGGTGAGGTCCAGCCTCTCTGAGCTGCGTCCCTCTCATCTCTGAAAGGAGGATGAGCACACCCTGCCAGGTTGCTGCTCATTCCACTGTGGTGAGACCAGTTGCCAAGAGAAGGGGTGGGTGGGACAGAAAGTGGCAGCAGGCGGCCAGGTGAGAGCAGGAAACTTATGTTCAGACCTAACGCGACAGGGAGACAGGAGCGGGCAGAGAAGGCTCGGAAGGAAAAAGAAAAGCCACGAGTATAACTTAAAAAAGAAAATTACAAATGTTCACGAGGATGTGGAGAAATCAGAACCCTTGTATGTTGCGGGTGGGAAGGTGAAATATCCAGCACTTGTGGAAAAACACTGGCAGTTCCTCAAAAAGTTAAAACCTGAATTACCACGGGTGATGTTGTAACTCTATAATAATAAAAGCATAATGTGCTCATTAGACTGACGTCCTTCCTTCTGGACCTTCCGGGGCTGCGAGGGAAGCCGGTGCCGGCAGCCAGGGGAAGGCCTACTCTTGCACGAATTTCGTGCATGGGGCCTCTACTTTATAATAAGAGATATTTGCTCTTCCTCCCCAGTCCTGGCACAGAGCTCCCCAAATCCTGGGGGTTCCTAAAGGATGGAGGGATTTTGTTGTGTTAATGAGGCAACTGTAGAAAGTCCCTAGGCAACCTCTCTATAATAATAAAAGCATAATGTGCTCATTAGACTGACGTCCTTCCGGACAACCTTCTGGATGAAGCCAGGGCAGCGAGGGAAGCCGGTGCCGGCAGCCAGGGGAAGGCCTACTCTTGCACGAATTTCGTGCATGGGGCCTCAAGTTGATAATAGGAGATATTTGCTCTTCCTCCCCAATCCTGGCACAGAGCTCCCCAAATCCTGGGGGTTCCTAAAGGATGGAGGGATTTTGTTGTGTTAATGAGGCAACTGTAGAAAGTCCCTAGGCAACCTGAGGATGGGGCTGGTTGCCAGGGGAACCAACCCAGAGAAGGAGGGTTAGAACTTCCAGTCCCATCCCCTGACCTCTGGGGAGGGGAGAGGGCATAAGGTTGAATTAATCGCCAGTGGCCAATGATTTAATCAATCATGACTATGTGATGAAGCCATAAAAACCTGTCTTCTTGGGGAAGACAACAGTGATGCACGAAATAAGTAGAGGGTGAGACATCCCAGTGAAAAAGCAAAGTTGATAATAGGAGATATTTGCTCTTCCTCCCCAATCCTGGCACAGAGCTCCCCAAATCCTGGGGGGTTCCTGGAGGGATTCTGTTGTGTTAATGAGGCAACTGTAGAAAGTCCCTAGGCAACCTGAGGATGGGGAGAAGGAGTGTTAGAACTTCTAGTCCCATCCCCTGACCTCTGGGAGGGGAGAGGGCATAAGATCGAATTAATTGCCAGCAGCCAATGATTTAATCAATCATGACTATGTAATGAAGCCATAAAAACCCAAGAAGACAGGGCTCTTTAAAAGGGGAAGGCAACAGTGATGCATGAAATAAGTAGAGGGTGAGACATCCCAGTGAAAAAGCATCCACTACACCAGTGGTTCTCAAAGTGGGGTCCCAGGACCAGCAGCAGCCCTGGGAATCTGTTAGAAACGCACACGCTCACACCCCACCCCAGACCTCCAGACTCGGCGGGTGGATGCAGGGATCTGTGTTTTAACAAGCCCCCGGGTGGTTCTGGTCAAGTGTGAGACCCACTGCACTAGGCTACTGACATGCAGGGTCAGGAAGGGAGCGGGCAGTGTGGCTGGAGGGGCCTGGGCAGTGTGGCTGAGAGATGCAGGAGGCCAGGGAGCCTGCAGGGCTGAGGCCAGGACTCATCTGTGTGTCCCTCAAGCAGCAGGACCGCCTTCCTGTCCAGGGAGAGGCCCCTCTCAGCTCTGGTGTAGCCACAGCTGTTTTCTCCCCACCCTCCCCCTCTGTAAGAGCCCCCTCCACACCCCGGCCGCTGCCCCTTACCCTTCACGGTCGATGTGTGCCAGGGGCTGCTTGGGCGTGTGTCGGAGTCTCCTGTGGAACTGGGTGAAGTCCAGCTTTTCAGGCTGCAGGTCCCAGGTGGCACCACTAGAGGGCGAGGGAGGGCAAGAAATGAGAGGCGAGCGGGAGGAGACAAGCCCAGCCAAGGAATGGAGCCAAATGGAGCCTGTGGTGTCAGCTCTGGGGACTGCCCAGCCGGGTGGGTGTGTCTGGAACCTGCTCAGAGCCAGACAGAGCAGAGCGAAAGGGCCAGGCCACCCATGGCCTGAGGGGTAGACACCAGGGCAGGAGCCCATGAGCAGCCCGTGAACCCTGGCCAACACCTGTTCTTCCAACCTGGTCCATCAGGAACCTTCTAGATCAGTGGTTCTCAACCTTCTGGCCCTTTGAATACAGTTCCTCATGTTGTGACCCAACCATAAAATTATTTTCGTTGCTACTTCATAACTGTAATGTTGCTACTGTTATGAATCGTCATGTAAATATCTGATATGCAGGATGGTCTTAGGCGACCCCTGTGAAAGGGTCGTTGGACCGCCAAAGGGGTCGAGACCCACAGGTTGAGAACTGCTGAACTAGAGTCTGAGCCACTGAAAACCCCTCCTTCCTCAGATATCCCCGCTGCCAGCCCCACCAGCTGTGACCTCAGGGGGGAGGGCAGAGGGGGGAGGTTCCCAGCCACAGCTCTCTGTCCTGACCCACCCCAGGCTGCCTGACACCCGGAGCCATCTCCTCTGCTCCTCTCCAGTCCTCCCTCTGCTCCCTCCTCCCTCCTCTTTCTTTTTCCCTTGGATACTCTCTCCTTCTCCTTCCCTCGGTCTCCGTCTCTCCTCTCCTAACCTCCTTCCTCTTCAGCCGCATGCTGTAAGCTATCTCACACCCTCTGGTTCTCCTGCTTCTTCATCAGTGAACTCTCAACATTTCCCCAAAGGCCCCACGGGGCATCAGGACACGTAAGCTGGGGGCCCAGCCAGAGCCACACACCACACAGAGGACGGGAGCTCACCTGAAGGAGTCGAAGGTGTTGGCGGCCCAGATGTCTGTGCCCAGCATGTCCAGAGAGTTATCTTTGCTGCCGTTCTAGGAGGGGGGCAGGGGGGAAAGGAAGGGGCAGCATTATTTGCTTGGCTGGGACACTGAGAGCAAGAGGGGGCTGCAGCGGTCTCCCTGCCCCCTCGGCTGGTCATCCTGGGCAGCTGGGAGGACTCGGGTGGACGCCTAGCCTCCGCCCAGGCCCGGCCGTCGCCTGGATGGTGTGTGCTGGAGCTGTGCCATCAGGTACAGAAACGGCTCGGGTCTCGCTGTTGCCCCAGCCCATGGCTCTCTCCTCCAAGCCTCCACATGGACGAGCTGCCCCAGGCACACTGGAGGGTCCCCGTGGGGGTCAACTTCGGACTCCCTGAAATCAGGCAGTGCTGAACAGCCCCCACTGACGAAGGCTATGCCAGCAACTGGATTTCTGTCACCCAGCGCCCGTCTCCACACTCAGACAGTTCTTGCGAGGCCCAGCCACAGATGGAAAACACTCTACTCGTTCCAGCTTCTGTGATATGGCTTCCCTGCCCTCCCTGCCTCCACGCCTCTTGCCATCCCTCGCTCGTTAGCCCTGCTGTCTGCTATCCATCCTCTCACTCTTTAAAGGCAAAACCTCCACCTCTGCTAATGCTGAATGTGCACATGCCTTGCGACCCAGGCCTGTGCTCCCAGGTGTGAACACGCCCGAAATGTGGGCGGACATTCACCAACAGCAGGCAGCACAGAGGAAATCCCCGAGCGCCCACCCGCTGACCACACAGATCCGTCGTGGTGTGTTCACACACTGGACTATCACACAGCAGTGAGGATCAACAAATTAAAACAGCACAGCACGGCATCAATAAAGCCCACGTGGAGTGAAACCAAGGAACCCATGGTTCATCCATGGCCCCAAGTAAATTTTAAGCTGCTCGACTGCCACCTTCTCTTCTGGTGCCCCCAGTGGCCCGGCGAGGCACACAGTACGTCCACCTCAGATGCCTGCCGACCGATGGAACAGATCCTACCCTGTAAGTGGAGCAGGCGCCGGCCAGCTGCCTGTGTGTCTGAAAGACTGACTCACAGGTTAGGATGTCAAGGGCAATTTTCTGTCCGAGGGCTTCAGGTCCAATCAAAGCCCTTGAAACTGGAGAAGTGCCTGGAGAGTCCCCCTCCTTGAGTTCTGGACATCAACCCTCAAAGTCTACAGCCCCCGACACACATGCACACGCACACCCACACACCACCTGTTCCCCAAACCCTTGTAGTGCCCAGAAAAAATTTTAAAAAAGCCAGAGGGACAGGAGCCTGGGGACAGATGGACCCACACACAGGCGGACTGCAACCTGATTTCTGGAACTCAGCAGGAGCCAGATCCACCTCACCCTCCAAACCACCCCGAGCCCGCTCCCACCGAGGACCCACACAGAGGAGAGGACAAGCTGAGGAGAGAAGGTGCCCAGGGCCTGCTTGCTCCCAGACCCCCCGCCTCCTCGAGCCTTCTGTTTGTGGCTGCAGAGGCCTCACTTCCTCCTGAGCGCACAGGTGACGCTGTGTCCGTGTGCGGCTCGCACGCAGGCCCGCCTGTGAAGGGCTCTAAGGCCATACACGGCTGCCGAAGCCATGGGGCTACATTCCTCTTTGGGCCACTGTGGCCTTCCTGGACTCAGAGGAAAAAGCAAGTTTCTTTCTACCCCCTCCCCCAGGCTTCTGTTACGATCCAGCTAAAGACCCTTCGTTCCTTATTCTGCACTTTCCTCGATGCTCGTGCCCCACGAACCCACAGCATGTACAGCACATACCCCGGTGGCACCCTTCCTGACTGCTCCGATGCAGAGCTCCCCACTGGTGTTCTAGCAACACCGATCCGCTGGCCCTCAAGAGTCAGGGTGCATCCGAGTCACCAGGGGAGGGGAGTGCTGATGGTTTAAATTGTGTGCAGCTGGAGTGGTCCATGGACCATGCTTTTGGAAACATTGGATGTTAAAAAGAGTTTCACGGGGAGAAAAAAGTTAAAAAAAAAAAAAAGGCTCCCTGGTCAAATGTTTGGGACACAATGAGATCATGAAATAAATTATTAGTCACCAGGGGAGGGGAGTGCTGATGGTTTAAATTGTGTGCAGCTGGAGTGGTCCATGGACCATGCTTTTGGAAACACTGGATGTTAAAAAGAGTTTCACGGGGAGAAAAAAGGTAAAAAAAGGCTCCCTGGTCGAATGTTTGGGACACAATGAGATCATGAAATAAATTATTTAATTGCAGAACTTCTCAGTGCCTTTATTGGCTTTACATGGATGCTGACTCTTCAAATGGGGGGCAGTACAGTGTGCAGTATTTCCCAAACTCTTTTGGCCAGAAATCTACCCTGCCCTTCCTCTTTACAGTATTTCACAGAGCACTTTGCAGGACTAGGGTTCCATGGAACCCTGCTTAGGAAACAGTCATCTAATGCTCTCTCTGTTAGCTCTCTTCTCCAGTTAGTCTGCCATCTTGTCAAAGGTAGAAACCCTGGCTTGGGCCTAGCTGGCGTGGCTCAGTGGTTGGGTGTTGACCTGTGAACCAGGAGGTCACAGTTCGATTCCCGGTTGGGACACATGAGTGGGTTGTGGGCTTGATCCCCAGTGTGGGGCGTGTAAGAGGCAGCCGATCAATGATTCTCTCTCATCATTCATGTTTCTGTTTCTCTCCCTCTGCCTTTCTCTCTGAAATCAATAATATATATAATCAATATATATATGTGTGTGTGTGTGTGTGTGTGTGTGTGTGTGTGTGTGTATATATATATATAATTTTTTTCTTAAAGCTGTGGTATGCCCTGGCCAATGAGGCTCAGTTGAATAGAGCATCATCCCGTACACCAAAAAGTGGCGAGTTTGATTCCTAGTCAGGGCACATACCCAGGTTGCAGGTTTGATCCTTTCGCTTTTTTTATTGTATCTCCCTGCCCACTCCCCTCCCCCAAACCCATCCTAACCTTGGGACCCAGCATCATCCATGACCTATTACTTATCAAGGACTCAGAGGCCAGGCACTGAGAACTCTCCATAAAGCCCCCTGGCTTCTTCAAGAACACTCTCCAGGCTGCAGTTCCCAGGCTGGCCTGTGAGCACAGCTTGTCTCCGAGCCCCCCCCACCCGGCTCCGCGGGCCCCCCGCCCTGCTCCCCAGGTTGCTGCAATGCCAAGGCTTCGAGAAGCCCATCAAAAACAAGCACCCTTTTCAGGGGATCGTTGTCAGCACTTAATCGCGGCTGCACACTTCACAACGGCCCGTTACTGGCAATTAGGGGCCCCATGCCAGGGCGAAGCATGCTGCTCTCAGCGCCACCACAGAGGGCTAATGAGCACTTTAAACAGTGTCGAAGGAGAAATGGAAGCGGCCTGCCCACGGGCTGGGACACTGAAGCTGCCCCCGAGAGGCCCCCTGGGAGCACAGCTACCCCAGCTCAGGGGAAGACAGACCCCAGGTGATGACAACAGCAGACGAGGCAGCACTCACGGAGGCCAGGCACCATGGAGCACTTTACCGCTGTTACAGCCCTAGGAAGCCGGTGTGGTCACCCCCATTTCCCTGAGGAGGGAACGGAGGCCCGGAGAACTTGTCCGTGTTCACAGAGCAAGTCCCAGAGAGGCCCTGCGTTTATGCTCTTAGCCACTGCAGTGTGCAATCATTCAGATAAATCCCGACCCCACTGCACATTTCCACAATGCAGTCACACACCCACCCCCACAACTGTGTGGGTCCTCGAGTCTGTCTCTGTCGTGTTTGGGAAGGCAGTGCTGGTGGAGAGGGTACATCTGCTGTCGTGAAGTTAGGAGGGAACATGGGGTGTGAGCTGTCTGAGTGAATGAAACAAGGTGGGAGTCAATCCCTGTACAGCAGAAATACATGCTAAGTCAGGTGTAGCGGAGGGAAAAGAACCCTCTTCCATGCTGCTTTCTTTTCTTTATTAACACAACTAAGAATGACTTTTGTTTGTGCGTGTGTGTGTGTGTGTGTGTGTGTGCACGCACGTGCACATGCGTTGACAGTTCTAGTCTGCAAGGGTTTAGAAACTAGATAGAACCTGGCCAAAATAGATACTTCCTAGGGCTGGGTCTAAAGCTGCTCTCAGACTGTAAGGGTGACTTGGATTTGCTTCAGCAAAAAGGAAATAAGAAGCCAAGTACAGAGGGAGGTGGGGAAGGGCAGGACTCAAGGAGAAACAGTTGTGTCGTGTGCATATGCATGTGTGTGCATGTGTGTGTGCGTGTGCGTGCGTGTGCGTGTGTGTGTGTGTGTGTGTGTGTCAATTCAGCACCAAGGACAGCACCCACATGCAAGTGGGAAAGCCTATGATGGGCCCCCAACAATTTAACCCCCTTACAGTAGGAGGGCCCCTGAGACGGGAGCATGGCAGAGCAGAATCAGCAGAGAGGACCTCCTGAGAGGCGCCAGCGCTGAGTTCAGGAGCAGGAAGGCCATTTCTATCACTCTGGAACTTCTGTGTCTCTCTGTCCATTCTGTCTCTTCCCTCTCTATCCTCACGGTCTTTGAATTAAGACCCAAAAAGACCAGGGAGAGGTGGGAGATAATGACGAAAGCCTATGGCCAAATATATCTCCTCTAAGACAAGGTCACTTCCAGAATACTGACACTGATACAGTCAAGATGCAGAACATGCCCAGCCGGAGTGGCTCAGTGGTTGAGAGTCAACCTATGAACCGGGAGGTCACAGTTTCATGACCACATGCCTGAATTTCAGGCTCAATCCTCAGTGGGGGTGGTGTGGGAGGCAGCCGATCAATGATTCTCTCTCATCATTCCCTCTCCCTTCCTCTCTGAAATCAATAAAAATATTTTTTAAAAAAGGTGCAAAACATTTCCACCAGCATAAGAATCCCCCTGGCTGCCCTTTTATACCCACACCTACTTTCTTGGCTCCCCTCCTTCCCTAGCCTTCGCAACGGCTAACCGGTCCCCACTTGAACAATGTTCCATAAATGGAATCAGAGAGTATGTAACTTTGGGAACTGGCTTTTGTCTTTTTGTGTTTCACCAGCACCATTCCCTGAGGGTTGTGAGTGGCAGGAGCTGGCTCCTCTCTTGCTGAGTGCCACAGCTTGTCCCACAGTCACGTGGCTGAAGGACATGTGGGCTGTTTCCAGTTTGGGCTATTATCACTAAAGCTGCTATAAACATTTGAGTACAGGTTTCTGTGTGAACATAAGTTTTCATTCCTCGGGGATAAACAGCCAGGAATGCGATGGCTGGATCAGATGGTTCTTGCATGTTGAGTTTTTGAAGAATCTACCCAACTGTTTTCCACAACGGCGGTACATCTCCCCCAGCGTGTATGAGTGACCCAGCAGTGTATGACGGGGCACACGCTGCACCCTCACCAGCGCCTGGCGTTGTTCATTACGGATGATCCGATAGGTGTGGGCTGATGTTCCCTCGTGGCTAATGGTGTTGAACATCTTTTTGCATGTGCTTACTTGCCATCTGTATATCCTTTTCGGTGAAATATGTGTCTTCGTGTATTTTGTCCATTTTTAAATTGGGTTGTTTTTAATGTGGATTTGAGAGTTCTTTATATATTCTAGATACAAGTCCGACTTCACATCAGTGTTGACATCTATGGATTATCCCCTCTTCATTCAGTAAGAAATCTTCCCAGTTCTTGGTAGGGCAGGTGACTTTTGACTGCACTCAGGGCACTTCCGTGATCCGTTATGAGATTCTGAATCTCGTTTAAATCTGTTTTAACTGGCTTTTGGGCCACCACCCTGGCAGGGGAAAGGGGTCACGGCCACAGTATAACCAGTCCAAGGGTGGCTCTGTCGTTACAGCTGGTGGAGGCGAAGTTACAGGTCCTCATATGGTCTCCAATGACCCTGCCATGGAGGTGGCCTTCTTACCACTGGACAACAGAAGTCCCAGTTCTCCATTAGGCCTCCTCTGACACATCCCAGCAGGGAGGGGAGGGTGCCTCACTACTGCCGGGTGGGGTGCAAGTCCAGCTCCCCTACCTGGTCTCCGATAATACCATGGGGAGCGTAAGGGCCCTTTCACAAGCCAGCAGGGAGGCAAGCTGCATCTTCCTACTTGGCTTTCTCTGACACCACCCCAATGGGGGAGGTTGAGGCACCTGTCACAGCCGGGCGAGGGTGGACGTCCAGGCTCCCACTGGGTCTTTGCTGGCGTGGAGTGGGAGGGGCCACAGTGTTTTCTGTGCTGTTTGGCTGGAGTAGAGCAGCTACTGTGTAAGTTTTCTATCCTGCTAGGTACCTGCCATCTCCTGGGTCAGAGTCAATGTTGGCACCGAGGGTTTACCCAGCCTGCAGGCTGGCATAGGATTCAGAGTGGGTGGGGGAACAGCAGAGAAATCTGGAAAATCCAGACCTCCTGTTGCTCTTGGCAGCTATTTGGATCCAGTGGCTATTTCATGGAGACAGAGAACGTAAACAATGGAATACATTGCAGAGAGGCTCGGAGGTCTGTGCAGCCCAATGCCTCATTTCCCAGAAGAGACACTGGGCGGCGTGCCACACCCGGGTCGGCCTCTGTTCTCCTGACCTTTGGGACACTCTCTGGTGCCTCGCTTTGCTGCCGGGCATCGTGATGGAACAGGGAAGTGCCTTCTCTCACGCTCCTGGGAGTGTGGGATCACAGGCTGCCGCCAGCACTCGGAGACACCATTTCTGACACGCCCCCACCTTTCCCAGGCTCCGCAGGGACCCGCCTGATAAGGAGGTGTGCTCATTGGGCTCCCAGCACCGTTTCATCACCTTGCTCGGCAGCCAACACGGCCAGCCAAGCCCTTCAGTCAGGAAGTCCTTCCAAGGTCTAATCATAGGCTCTGTGTGAACATTCATTTTCTTTCCTTGGCTCCTCCGTGCAGACGGAGAAGAGCTGCTCCCTCCTGACCCCACACGACCTTCGTACGCCTGCAGCTTTCTTCCCTGAATGCTCAACCCCAGGCCGGGACCCTGAAATGTTTTCTCATGATTTCCTCTAAATCATCTTCATGCAGCCCTAGCTGGTTTGGATCAGTGGATAGAGCATCAGCCCGTGGACTGAAGGGTCCTGGGTTCAATTCCAGTCAAGGGCATGCACCTCGGTTGCAGGCTCGACCCCCCTGGCTGTGGTTGTGGCACGTGTGGGAGGCAACCAATCAATGTATCTCTCTCACGTCGATGTTTCTCTCTCTCTGTCTCTCCCCTTCCCTTCCACTCTCTCTTAAAAAAAAAAAAATCAATGGAAAAAATGCCCTCAGGTGAGGATTAACAACAACAAAAAATAATACATCATCTCCATGCATTTCCCCCAATATGATGGCAAGGTGCAAACTGTATGTATTCCTCCTGAGGTGATGGACAAGTTCTCATGGGAAGAGGCTACCAGGATGCCAAGAGTCCTCAATACAGCTGGATCCCAATTGCTGCAGCTGGACAGGCCTTCTTGGGACTATGTGTGGCCCAGTTTTTGATCTGAGCCTCCTTCCTCCCATCTTGTGGGACTCGGCCTACTCTAGGCTGCTCCCGCTTTGTGCCTCGAAAAGGCTGCAGAGGAGGCAAAGGGATTTTGTTCATTTGTTTTGTTTTATATTAGTTGAAATAAAATAAGTAAGCCCAGGGCATGACTAATCCCTGGACGGGGCTTGCACCTGGGCCCCACCATGGTCTGTGACCCACTACACAGAGCTTTCTGGGCAGAATGCAGCACCTTAGCATCCTCTGGCCACCACCTTTCCTGGGCACATGGGGCCAAGGTAGGGAGTCAGGGGCAGTGCCAGAGCAGCCCGCCACTCCGGTCTCAATTTAGCCTGTTTCCTCTGGAACTAATTCTCCCCCATGGGCAACTGTGGGGAAGTAGAACTGCCCTGTCATCCCAGTGACCTCAGAAAGCTCAGCAAGGTCGCTGTGGCCAGAGGCATAGGGCCCACTAGGGGCTGGCTGCATGGACTAGATCTGGACCAACGCTGGCATCATTATGAGCACCGACTGTGTGCAAGGCCCTAAGCCAGGGGAGTCAGGGAAGCAGAGCCAGCCCTAGCTCCCATCTTTGGGTTGACCAGCTGGCTGAGGGCACAGGCAGATGCACATGGAACAGCCTGATCACATCATGAATCTGCCTGGATGGGAGGCCAGTGGGTGTGCTTGTGGGGCGGGCAGCTGTCCCTGAGAGCTGGTCCTGTGCTCTGACATCTGGTGGACCGGGTTGAAGGGGGCCCTGAATCATGGATGGGCCAGCAGCATCCCATCGGAGCTGCACTCAGCAAACGACCTCTTCAATGGGCAGCTGTGGTTCTCCCCTCCATCAGGGAGCCGCTCCGTGTGGGCAGGGGCAGCTGGTGAAACAGAAACCCTCACCAGCTATGATTCCTCCACCAGAGGCCCAGGGTGGTGCTCCCACTGGAACGTGAGCCCTCGTGGACCACGGGGGCAAAGGCAGCCCCCTAGATAGCACCGAATGAGAAGCAAGGAACTTGTCCTGACACTACTGGGCTCCACTGCCAACCCCGAGCACCCACCCAGGTTGTACTGAGAGAGAAAGAAGCTTCCCCCTGGTTTACATCACTCTGTTGTTGGTACCCTAATTAACTGAGTCACTCGTGTATCAATATCAGGCCTTTCATCACTGAACCGAAGTCCTCCTGACCTCAGGAGACCCCATTCCAATCCAGCTGCTGCCTCTCGTGCAGCGTGGTGTGTAGCACACGGGTCCCAACCACAGCCTTCCACCCAGGGGTCCGACTCAGGCCCCTCCTCTGCTCCGCCTGCCCAGGCTTCCAAACCCTGGGACGCCTGAGGTCTGGGCCGCCTTTGGAAACTTGCATCTCCTGCCCGGCACTGGGCACCCTTTCACACATCATTTTGTCCTTCTAAATGGCAGGGCTCCTGAAGGCAGGGCCATGCTTCAGGCCCACCAGGGCTTAGCACCAGGCCCCTGCACTCCCTGGCTGAGGGATCTACAGGAAATCCTTTTGCAAACACATCAACTCTTTGGCCTGCTGAGCTGTGCTTCACACAGCACTGAGCATACCAAGACTCGGGCCATGTAGCCATCCCTCAGCCCAGTCAGCTCTCTGAAGGCAGGAGCAAGCTATTGTAGGAGCCCTTCAAGGCTCCCTCATCTCTCTGGACAGATGCAGTGTAAGGCTGGGCTAGGGGCGGGGGGGATAAATGTGTTTTTTTCAACCTAGGAGTCACCAGGGATGACTCTGGAAGACTTGCTGCCTCCTTCTTCACACAGGAGTTATGTGTCCTGGTCCCAGGACAGCTGGCTGGCCTCGGGAAATGGCCAGGTCTCTGACACCGCACCCCCACAGCCTGCCCCTCCAGGTCTTCTGCAAACCTGGAGCAGACTCTCCAAAGTGCCCCACTGGCACCAACCCCCCAGGAGTCCCACTGTTGGTGGGACCCATCATCACATGGATGTGTGGGCCTCCAGCTCATTCATTTTACTGCTGAGTCATGTTCCGCGGGGAGCATGTGTCACATACCGCTTTCCATTCTCCTCTCAGTGGACATGTGCTTGTATGCAGATGTTTGTTGTAGCACATAATGCTGCTACTGAAAAGAAATCCTATGAATCTCTGTGTTCTTAGGAGGGGCTGCCTCACTGTGGGCTGGGCATTCAGGGAGAACTTTCTGGACGGCAGTCGGCACCCGTCCTCTTCCACTTCCTGCGCGCTCCAGCCTCCACTCCTCAGGAGAGCCATGCTGTTCTGGCCTCCAATCCACTGTCGCCCGCAGGCAGGGAGGAGGCATCAGAAAGAGCAGCTGGACCACCAGAGGGTGTAGGGGGGACCTGCAGGGTCACCGGCGATGACCATCCTGGGCCAGCCCAGCAACCCAGACAGACAAGACACATGGCGACCCCGGATGGGGCAGAGCTCTTCCCTACCTGCTGCGGGGGGGCTCGCCCTCGGGAGAAGGGACAGCTGCTGTCCAGCTGCCGGCTGCAGTCCGCTGTCCACTGCAGGGGAGAAAGGAGGGGTTAGTGATGGCAGGACATGCAGGCTCAGCCTCTCTCAGCCTGGCCCCCCCCCAGACATGGCCCTGTCCTCCTGCCGCAGAGACAGGAGAGAACCTCAGCCCGGCCCCCCACACATGGCCCTGTCCTCCTGCCGCAGAGACAGGAGAGAATCCTGCTTGGCCATTTCAACAGCAGATGCTTCCGACCAGCAGGCCCAGGATGGCATCTCTGAGTTCCACGGGGAGGTGACCCTCTGGTACACGTGGGGAAGGCAACCTAGATTCCCTCCACCTAAGCTCACCGAAGTGATGAAGACCCAGCCACACCCCAAAGTCAACCAGACGTGACACAGGGTCACTGTGAGCTTTGAACAACGGGCACCATGTTTGCCCACCTGCCCACCTTCAGCCACGCTAGCCCTCTACAACGCCAAGGCCAGAGCTGGAGTTGAGGCGTGTGTGCGTGGATCTTCCCAAAGGACGATGGAACTATGGACTGACCGGACAGCCTGGCCTTGGGGAAGAGCCCTAGACTGGCCAGCAGAGCCCAGACCCGCGACTTCCCGCTGACAGCTTAGAGGCCTGATGTGCCCCAAGGTGCACCCCACCTTGACCGTCCCAAAGCCTGCCATGCCACACTGGGGTCCCTGGACCCCACTCTCCATCCACTGAATCAGATTCTGTGAGGGCAGGGCCTGGGCATCAGCATTTTGACAAGCTCCCGAGTGATGCACCAGCAGTTTCAGAGCCACTGATACCCATGTGACCTCCCAGGCTTCACTGCGTCATCTCTACAATGGGACAGCCAGGCTGGGCGGCTCTGCACGCTGCGATGAGGATGTCTGTAACCCATAAAACACTGTGGAGGTACGAGCAGCAGTAACAGTGGGGCCCTTCCTGTGTGTGGTGCTACCGAGCTCCATGGTGGTGTGTTTATTATTGTGTTAAACGTTAGCTGGCCTCGCAGGCTAAGGTTGCTGGACACGGACTTTGATCTACGCCCTGTACAGGGAAAGCAATCTCTCTCTGCCTGACACACTTGGTCAAAACTGGCAGTGAGTGTGGATGGCTCAAGGCCTGGTTCTGTAAACCTTGGCTGGACACACCATCCTGACTGGGGGCCAAGGGCATGACCTTTGTGCAGGAAAGATATGTTATTACCATGCTGACAACACGGGCCGGTGCAGTGTACTCTAGAGCAGTGCTGTCCCACAGACACGGCATGAGAGCCGCAGACGTCATTGTCAGTGACCTGGCAGCCACGTTTTAAAAAGGTCAAATTAAGCGCAAGGCTCCATTTTATCTCAACATATTTAAAACAGGTGATCAACATCAAATTTATTAACGAGATATTTCTTATTCTTCTCTTCACATTAAGTTTTTGAAATCCACTCAGAGCCCACCTCAACTTGGACCCGCCACATCGCAAGTGCTTGCGAGCCGCATGGGATGGCTGCTATATGGGGCAGCCCAGCTGGAGGGAAATGGCAAAGGTGGCATCCCAGTCCCGGGGGAGTCCCAGCCCTCCATCCACTTCTTGCCCATCCCGGCTCTGCACTGCAGAGGAGCTGATCCCTGCCTACTGTGACTCCTAGCCTCCAGCATCAGCTGGTTCGGCCAATGGCAGACAGGAAGAAGGGAGAAGTCGGTCAGTTGGTTTGGCCAATGGCAGACAGGAAGAAGGAAGGAGTCAGGGCATCAGCTCCCGCCTCCCCCCACCTCAGGTGGCATTACCAGCAGGGACAGGGTCTCCCTCATGGCTCCAGCCCTCAGCCTTCTGTGCATGACCCTGACCCTGGCTCTGGCAACACCTGTGCCTCAGGTGTAGAGGTGGTAAGGCTTCCTGCAGCTAAATCTCGGGTAATTTCGCTGCTCAGCTTTTTTATCATCCGTAACCAACTCCATGGATTAAATTCCCTCTGTCTAGATATTTGCAGTCTCAAAGCATCTCCCCAAGATATTTATTAATTATAGGGGGGAAAGGAAAAGCTGAGAAATCCATCAGACACCACCTAGACCAAGTTATTGAGGACAACACTGCCCGTGACAAACTCTATCAACGTCCTGGACTCCCCAATACAATGGATGCACTGAGAAGGGCACATTACCTCTGAGGTGTTCTTGCCAAAAATACACAATCTCAATCTAATCAGGAAAAAACATCAGGCAATTCATACTGGGGAACTTTCTACAAAATAAGTGATCAGTGCTCTTCAAAAGCATCAAGGTCACCTGACCGATGTGGCTCAGTGGTTGAGCATCGACCTATGAACCAGGGAGGGCACGGTTTGATTCCTAGTCAGGGCACATGCCCGCCCGGGTTGGTAGCTGGATCCCCAGTGTGGGATGTGCAGACAGCCGATTGATGATTCTCTCTCATCATTGACGTTTCTATCTCTCTCTCCCTCTCCCTTCTTCTCTGAAATCAATAAAAATGTATGTTTTTAAAAAAGTGTCAAGGTCGTGGAAGGTAAGACCAAGAGGGTTTCACAGATTGGAGGAGAATAAGGAGACACAACAATTACATGCAAATTTGGATCCTGGAATAGAACAAGGATATCAGCGGAACAACTGGTAAAATCCTGAATAAGGCCCCATTGTACCAACGTTAACTTCCTAGTTCTGATCATTGCACTGTGGTTATGTAAGACGCTCATATTAGGGGACGCTGGGTGACAAACAGGTTCATAGAAACACCCTGCACTATTTTTGCACCTTTACTATAAGCCTAAAATAATTTCAAAATAAAAAGTATACATATATACAATATATAAATACAGGGTGGGGCAAAAGTAGATTAACAGTTGTTCACATGGAAGATAATACAATAATTAATAAATAATAATATGAGAATAATCTGTGTTTCGCACTCACAACTGCAAACCTACTTTGCCCCACCCTGTATAGTAAGAATCTGATCATTTCTCGCCACCTCAGTAGTGACCATGCTGCTCCAAGCCACCATCACCTCTCGCCTGGACACCTCAATGGCTTCCTAGTCTTTCATCAGTCATACCATGTCCTTCCTCTGCTCAAAAACCCTCCCGTGTCTTCCTGTCTCCCTAGAGAAAAGGCCAGAGTCCTCCCCCGGGCCAACAAGGCCCTGCAGACCTGGCTCTTCTACGACATTCCACTGGCTCACTCTGCTCCCAGGAGATTGGACCCAAAGCTGTTCCTCACAGCAGGACGTGATCTGTGCCCTTGACATTCCCTCTGCCTGGAATACTCATTCCCCAGTGGCCGCCCTCTCTTATCTTCTCTAAATCTTTGCTCAAAAATCCTTTTCTAAGTAAGCCTTAGGGACAGCCCAGCTCTCACACCCCTGACTGCGCCTCACTCGTGTGTATATAACCTTTTAACAATCTAGTTCTTTGTCTATCATCCGTCTTTCCCCACCAGAAAGTAAGAGCTAGGGGGAAGGGGGTCATGGTCCATTCTGTTACTCACTCTGTCCCAGAGCCTAGAACAGGGCCTGGTAAATAAATGCTAGCTCTAATTACATTTCACTATTGAGCCAAAAGTAACTAGTAGAAAAAGGGCAGATTTAAACAATTGTGCTTTATGTCAAACACCACCAACCAATGTGTAGGAGCTCATGCTAAATCAACAAGCAAGCTACAAAAGACACGGACGCTAGAACCTCAACTTTGTAAAAGGTATATAAAGAGTTTTACACAAAAATTATATTAGCTTCTGCCATAAAATTACGCTGAACTTCTTTCTCTGTTTTCTGATTGTCTCTGTTTTTCCAAATGCTGCTTTAAAAGTAAAACAAAAATTTAACCCATTACAAAATAACTGGTAATCATATTAAAAAGAAATCAAGAAAATGCACATTAAATGATGAGAGACAATTTGTCCCAATACTCTGGTGGCAGTGTGACTAATGGACAGTCATTCTGGAGGGCAATTTGGCAATGGCTGTTGAAATCGATTCCATTTCTCAGCATCTGCCTGAAGAAACACTTTGTATGTGCAGGCGGAGGCACGTCCAACAGTCTTCACTGAAGGACCTTGTATTTCCAGAGGCACATTTGGAAGTAACCTGAATGCCCATCAAAGGTGAATGGCTGAGCGATGGGACATCCATACTATGGGCTACTGTGCGGCCATTAAACAGAACACAGCAGATGTACACGCTTGGAAGACTCCCCAGGGCATACAGCTGGGGGAAAATGCGAGTTATTGAACATCATAGATACTGGCTACAATCTATGATTTTAAAATATTACATTTCTATTAGACATATTATATAGGAAGTCACTAAGAGAGATTCTATTGATAATATTTGAATTCGTGTGTACCATGAGAATGTATGGCTATAGTACTTATAAATGTAAAGATATATTATTTTTTAAAATAAGGGGAAAAATAAAATGGGTCCCCCATGCTCAACCACCCCCATGCACAGCTCCCCTCAAACTCACTTCTTCTGTTAAGACTTTCATGGGTGGTCCACCATTGAGTGCTTCCTCCTACGAGCAAAGATGTGGGGGTTGGAGGTTCAAAGGCAAGGTGAAATGAAGGGATGGGATAAAAGGGGATGAGGGAACAGTGAACAGGGAAGGCAGAATGAAACAACAACAACAACAAAAAAACATGAAGAAAAAGAGAAGAAAAACATTGTGAAAAAGAGACCTCAGGCCAGTCTGAGTACTCCGGTCCCAGCCTACCTACGGGCATCACCGGGAGTGCAGTTTGGCTGGTTCCTGTTTCTGTCTCAGTTGTTTCTTCTGTAGAATGGAACTACAACCCCCTTACTCCCAAGCACAGAGAGAGGACAACGTTCAGGATACGACTTTGGGGACTTGGAATCCAATGAAGGGTAGGCACTCTTGAAATGTATGTGTGTGGGGTTTCGATTTAAAATATGGTTTCCTGAAAGTGTTGGGAAACTTGGAGCATATATTCTCTTAGTTACTCATCTAAAGAAATGGGAGCTCACTTTCTCCCCTCCTCCCCTTCCCCTCCCCTCCCC